TGAGCCATTTAAACCCCTGCGTTCTGCTCCCTACCAAAAGTTGTGAGGAGAGGAAAGCAGGAGGTTAAACTTTAAATGGTTCATGAACCCATACGAACCAGTTTGGTTCGTGAACTGACCTATCAGTTCATGGTTCAGCCACGAAACACAAACTGAACTGGTCCGTGCCTCTCCTAATCAGTGGCTACTAGCCCTGGTGGCTGAGGGGGACCTCCAGATTCAGAGGGACTAATCCTCTGAACCCCAGAGCTGGGGGACAACATTAAGGGAAGGCCTCGGCCTCTATGCCCTGTTGTTGGCCCTACAGAGGAACTGGTTGGCCACTGTGCGAGATAGGATGCTGGACTGGATAGACCACAGGTCTAATCCAGCAAAGTTCTTCTGATATTCTTCTCAGGAGAAGGCCTCAGCTTTTATGACCTGTTGTTGGACTTTCAGAGGAACTGGTTGGCCACTGTGCGAGATAGGATGCTGGACTGGATAGACCACAGGTCTAATCCAGCAAAGTTCTTCTGATATTCTTCTCAGGAGAAGGCCTCAGCTTTTATGACCTGTTGTTGGACTTTCAGAGGAACTGGTTGGCCACTGTGCGAGATAGGATGCTGGACTGGATAGACCACAGGTCTAATCCAGCAAAGTTCTTCTGATATTCTTCTCAGGAGAAGGCCTCAGCTTTTATGACCTGTTGTTGGACTTTCAGAGGAACTGGTTGGCCACTGTGCGAGATAGGATGCTGGACTGGATAGACCACAGGTCTAATCCAGCAAAGTTCTTCTGATATTCTTCTCAGGAGAAGGCCTCAGCTTTTATGACCTGTTGTTGGACTTTCAGAGGAACTGGTTGGCCACTGTGCGAGATAGGATGCTGGACTGGATAGACCACAGGTCTAATCCAGCAAAGTTCTTCTGATATTCTTCTCAGGAGAAGGCCTCAGCTTTTATGACCTGTTGTTGGACTTTCAGAGGAACTGGTTGGCCACTGTGCGAGATAGGATGCTGGACTGGATAGACCACAGGTCTAATCCAGCAAAGTTCTTCTGATATTCTTCTCAGGAGAAGGCCTCAGCTTTTATGACCTGTTGTTGGACTTTCAGAGGAACTGGTTGGCCACTGTGCGAGATAGGATGCTGGACTGGATAGACCACAGGTCTAATCCAGCAAAGTTCTTCTGATATTCTTCTCAGGAGAAGGCCTCAGCTTTTATGACCTGTTGTTGGACTTTCAGAGGAACTGGTTGGCCACTGTGCGAGATAGGATGCTGGACTGGATAGACCACAGGTCTAATCCAGCAAAGTTCTTCTGATATTCTTCTCAGGAGAAGGCCTCAGCTTTTATGACCTGTTGTTGGACTTTCAGAGGAACTGGTTGGCCACTGTGCGAGATAGGATGCTGGACTGGATAGACCACAGGTCTAATCCAGCAAAGTTCTTCTGATATTCTTCTCAGGAGAAGGCCTCAGCTTTTATGACCTGTTGTTGGACTTTCAGAGGAACTGGTTGGCCACTGTGCGAGTATTGGAAATCGCTTACATGAATAGCCTCATTCACTCCCCATGCAAAGCTTGAGCCCAATGAAGGCTCCACTGAACTGCATTGCCATTGGTCGCCCTCTAACAGCGACCAATCAGAAACTGTACAGTCCACAGAGAGGGAAAGACTCTCATTGGTTTTTAACTACTCAATCTTATTGGTTGTTATTTGTAAATAGGCGTGGCTACATTAGCCCGGGAATGTTTAAAAGGAGCCTAGCTCCCAATGTTAAACTGTTCTGGTTATGAATGCGTTTGAGTGCTTGTTCGTTACTTCATTAAAGCTGAATCACTTTGCTGAAATCACTCTCGAGTCTTTGTTAGTAGCGATCTAACAGTGAGAAAACTGCAAGCAAGGAGAGGTTGAGGAGAGATCTGCAGGTTTGTCTTCACTGATGGCTTTGTTCTTAAGCTCTAAGTTCCGTTTCATCGTATAAAGGATTAATGTAATAAACCCGGGTATTTTTGCTCCCCATCTCCTGTGGGGTCTCCTCCGTGGAACATGCACCCTCCAAAGCCTACGAGAGAGAGACCAAAGAGTTTACTGCAGGAAGAGAGGGCTTAAATGTTTGAAGACAACAAGAGATCTCAACGGATTTGGTTGAATTCGTGCTGTCAATGCACAGAACTCATATAACATTTCATCAAGCTGCTCTCAAAGCTGTTCATCTGCAGTGCAAGCAGCGATATCCTATTTCTTCATTAAGAAAAACCAGATTCTGTTCTGTAAATGTATTTTGCAGATCCATGATACGTATGCAAATTCACTAATACTATATTAACCATCCAGGGCTCTTTTTGTAGACAAAGCCCAGCAAGAATTCATTAGCATAATAGGCCACACCCAACAGCAGGAACTCATTAGCATATTGGGCCACACCCCCGACAGCACAGCTCATTAGCACATTAGGCCACACCCCCATGTTACCAGAAGTGTGGTTATCCAGCCACACCCACCTTTTGCTTGTTTTTCTGTTTACCTTGTTTGTTGTCAAAACCAGGGCCTTT